TCACCATCCAACACACACAGCACAAGACCCCATTCCTTTTAAAGGCCTTTTGAGGCCATAAAGGTTTTTGAGGACATTTTATAGAGCTGGAGCACAGTTTTAATATTCTAAATTATTATAGGGGTTATGGTTACTATATCTTTATTTTTTATGACAAGTTGTCAGTATGCCCTTGATTTATTTGATCCTGGGCTTTTGTTCAAGAACACAATCTCCAGTTAAATGTGGTTACTGTGGCAAACATGATTCTCCTTAGAATGACCCTCTCTGGAGCCATTTCCAAAAATTCATTATGGTGAAAAGTCAGGGCTGCCTCTTCACGTTCATGAGCATTTTTGCTTGTGGTCACTTGGTTTTTGCATATGGAAGATTAGAGGGAACTAAGGCTGTGGGCTGGACCCAGAGGAGACCGGAGGGAGAGGAAAGAATCTTCCCCAGAAGTAAGTGGGTCACTGTTTAGAATCAGACTGCTTCAGAAATGGGAGAGACCTTTGCCTGAAGAGGCTGGGAAGCCACACTAGACTCCAGAACTCAAGCCCTGGCCCCATTCTGTACCACACTGACTCTCCTAGGGGTGTCTTGGGCACACGCACAACACCAATCCTTTCTATCTTAGATCATTTGGTGGGACAAATCCTGTAGAACCCAAAGCATTGATAAGTGTTTATCTTTAATAGACTGTAAATCTCTTCTCAGTTAAAGCAGTATCTGCTCCCCATTTTTACGATATGGCCATGCCATAAGCAAGTCTTGGGCTATTTTCTCAGAGTAATTGGACAGCACTATAGACTGAACGTGTCCCTCCAAAGACCATAGACTGGGTGGCTTAAACAACAGAAATTTATTTCTTTTAGTTCTGAAGGCTGAAAAGTCCAAGATCAAAGCACCAGCAGATTCAATGTCTGGAATGGTCCTACTTCCTGGTTCACAGATGACTGTCTTCTCACTGTGTCTGCACAGAGTAGAAGAGGGTAAGGGAGATTTCCGGGGTCCCTTTTATTTATAAGGGCATCAGTCCCATTCATGAAGTTTCCACCCTCAAGTTCTAATCACCTCCTGAAAGTTCCATCCTAATGCTTCCTAATACCAACACACTGGGCGTTAGGTTTCAACATGTGAATTTTGGAGGAACATATTCAGTCTATAGTGCTGTCCAGTTACTCTGAGACAATAGCACAAGACTTGCTTATGGCATGGCCATATCATAAAAGTGGGGAGCAGATATTGCTTTAACTGAGAAGAGATTTAGGAAATATTAGAGAGAGACACCTCTCAATGCTTTGGATTCCACAGTAGTTATCCCACCCAAAACATGAATTTACAATGAGGAACAGAGACACAACCAGTTAACTTGGAGACCAATACTGTGGTTCCGACCTGCCCAGTAATCTGCTCGTGTGAGATCACTGGCATATCATCCACGTCCCCAGGCCTCTTTTCTCACCTCTCTGGGCTTAATACTATGGTTGGCTTTGTGTGCTGTCACAGATGCTGCTGGGATCCCACCCAAACCTCTTAACCAGGCGGGTACATCCATTTCCAGCTGCATTATTGGTGAAGGGTTTGCAGATAGGGTTCCCCAAGTCCCTACTTCAGGTTCTGCTTCTGGGGAGCCCAATCCAAGACACCTTCCTCACAGTGTTCCAAGAATCAAATAAGATTCTCTGTGTGGAGGCCCCCTGAAAACTAAAGTATCAATGGGGTTTTAGTGTAGTCTTGGACCTGGCTGTTAAAATACCAGCTGCGGCTTCTTGGCTGAAGGCCTGTGATGGAGGCAGGTAAGGCACCCAGGGCGGGCAGGGCTGTTCTCATGCATCCCAAAGATGTGGGCCCAGGCTTCTCTTCCTTCCCCACCCAGGAGCCCAGGAGAGTGGACAGATAGTAAAAATGGGTTTGCTTGAAGCTGAATAATTTTTATAAAATGTAAGTAGTGGTTGAACAAGTTTTGCCCATATTGGAAGGATTAGAAGTGGAGCTGCAAATCATTCGAACCTTGGAACAGAGCAAGGTTACATAAATTCCTGCCTTCGCTTCAGGTACAAGGTGTGCAAAAGTCCCATTGCAAACTGCAGCTTTCTAAGGGGTGCCAGTTTCAAGATATTTAAAAACCCCTAAGTATTTATTTTTAACAGGATATTTCAGAAGTAAATTTTGGGGGAGGAGGTTGTAAATGAGAAGAAAATTGAAAGGGAAAGAGGGAGCTGTGTCCCTGAGTTCTGGAACACTTGCAATGTCCCCAGTTAATCATTGATGCCTCAGGGACTGATGGGCCACCAGAGCTGGCACTGCTGCAGGGGGCCAGAGTACTTGCTAATGGAATGCCGAGGACGCCTTTGGTACAGTTAATGATTTATCTGTGCCCAATTACAGTGCTCTACACTCCCTTTCTCTGAAGCTCACAGAAGACTGGGTGATCATCTTCTGGAGGCTAGGCTTGCCCAGCCTAATGCGGTGGAGAAGATGATGATTTGCAAATTCACTACATGACCAATCTCTCCAAAGGCTTCCTTCTATTGGAAAGAGTTTCTTTTCCTTAGTTGTTTTCTGAAAATATGCTTTAACAGAGAAGAATCATGCTTTAACAGAATAATTATTGTCTGATATTTCTTTGGATGAACGTTTGTGCCAACATAGTGCCACAGGATTGCACAATTTTTAATATAGGTACATGGCATTTGTCACCTCCAAACATGCATAATGTTTATTTGTGCAGTGTTTTTATTTACATTGCTACATTTAAGTACTTTGAGGGCCTCCACAAATTAGTGAATGTTTGTGCCATACATTCATTATGTAGACACACTAATATAGAAGGAACACATTTTCATTTAACTTATTTTTCTGTTTTACAAAATTCAGGTATGTTGTTCACAGGAATATCAGAGAATAATAGTTAAATAAAAGGAAAGGAGGAGACGTCCAGAGACAACCATCGTTAGTACTTTGTTTCGTATTATAATAGATGTGAACATTAAATGTGGTCCCTGTCACCTGAGATGGGACACAAGTGCCTTGGTGAGGCTGCAGTGGCTTTGGACTCTGCTGTCTGCTCCTGGAGGAAGTGACTTCAGAATAAGCATTCCCTCAGAGACAGTCAGTCTCTGTCCTAAGTATAGTTTAGATTTTGATAGGAAAGAGATTTTTGTTTGTTTGTTTGTTTTATTCCAGAAATTATAAATAAGATGTGTAATAATGATTTGGAGTTTTGTTTTTGTTTTCCCACTGAGGCTTGACTACAGATAAGTGAGAATGGGAGGTGGGCCTTGTGAGATTCACAAAACGGCACAGAAAGGATGGCAGAATAACAGCAGAGGGGATTGTTTCCTTTGGGGATTTCACCTGTGATTCTAGGACTCCTTTCCTAGGAAGAGATCTACATCCTGGCTACTAACAAATGAGTCTAGGGATGCATTGGGGGCTGGACACCTGGGAAGGGAAGCAAGCACAGTGCTAAGATAATGACTGCTGCTTTTACTTCAGTTATTTCTTCCTTAGCTACTTAGGGAGTTAACTGTGTTAGGATGCCCAAGCATGCATGCACAGGCCACCTCTCCGTCCCCTTTCTCCCACATGCTGTATGGCATCTCCTCTGTCCTTAATGGGGATGTGAGGAGGATTGTTGCTATAGGTCACTGAAGACTTTCACTGTGAATTCCATCTGGGGTCATCCAGTGAATTTTGGTTTTGCTTCATCTGTATTCTCTCTTGTCTTGGTGTGGATACATGGATGAAAGCTATTGCTATCATGTTTTGTAATGAAAACATTGTCTTTCTCAAGAGGTTTCTGTAACATCTGTGCATTTTCAGTACTAAAATCCCCCAGTTCTGGGTCCCAGGCTGTGTATGGATCGATTGGCCAGTCTGAGCCCTGCTCCTCCGAAGATCAATCCATTCTGAAGCATCTGATCAGTTTCAGGAGTTTGAGGCCCTGGGGGAAATATCTTTCAATGAAACCCAAAGTGATTTTTTTTTCTTGAAATTTATCCCTATTTCCCTCTCTTTGGGGAAATATCCTCTCTGAACAAGTCACAATGAGGCTCAGATGCATCAAGTACTTAGAAAAGTACTTACTTAAAATTCTTAGACTCAACAGAGGTTTAGGCGTTTCCTACTATTAAAGAAAGGCAGCTGTCTACAGCAGCACTGCCCAATAGAAACACCAGGCAAGGCACTTATGTAGTAATAACTTTTCTAGTAGCCACATTAAAAAATAAAAAGAAACAGGTGAAATTAATTTTAACTGTATATTTTATTTAACCTAACATGTTAAAAATACTGTATTTTCAACAAATGATCAATATTTTTAAATTATTGAGATTTTTTTTACTTTTTTTTAAATACTAAAGTCTGCAAAACCCAGTGTATAATTTATGCTTACAGTGCAACACAGTTAGGATAAGCCGCATTTCAAGTGCTCCTTCACCCTGTGTGGCTAGGGGCTGTCATACTGGACAACTCAGGCCTAGAACCTTGCTCCTCAAGGTGAGTTCTGGTGACCAGCAGCATGAGCATCATCTGAGAGCTTGTTTGAACTACAGAATCTCAGGTCCCACCCAAGACCTATAGAAGCAGACTCTGCATTTTATCAAGTGGTTCGTTTGCATGTTAGAGTGGGAAGCACTGGTCTAGACTCCCCGTGCTCATCCCCAACCCTTGGGATTCTGATTTAATTGGTCTAATGTAAGGCCTGGGCACTTGCAGTTTTCAAAGCTCCTGTGGCTGATCCTAATATGCAGCCAGACTCAAGAGTCACTTGTGAAGTGGGCTCTGGAGCCAGGGTGCCTGACTCTGGTACTTTCTACCTTCAAGACATTGGAAAATCCACCCAAACTCTCTGGGCCTGTTTCCTCATTTCGAAGGCCAAGATGAAAATAGTATCTGTTTCAAGGGTTGTTATGATGATTAAATGAGTTAACACACGTAAAGGACTCAGAACAGTACCTGGCAGACGGGAAATACTCCTTAAATATAATCTCTCACCCTTCTTCTTTTTCTTAAAGGTCCGGGGTTACCCAGAGCCCCGTGTGACGTGGCACAGAAATGGGCAACCCATCACCAGTGGAGGTCGCTTCCTGTTGGATTGTGGTATCCGCGGGAGTTTCAGCCTTGTGATTCAGGCCATCCGTGAGGAGGACATGGGAAAGTATACCTGTGAAGCTACCAATGGTAGTGGTGCCCGCCAGGTGACAGTGGAGCTGACAGTGGAAGGTGAGTCCCAGGAGGTGAGAGCCCTGGTGGGGACCATCTGCCTCACCAAGGCCTGCAGCTCCTGCTCCAGCCATATCCTGGAAGGAACCCACAGGAGAAGGCACATCCATCCCGGAACTCAGGACCTTTTTATTTTTTAAAATTTATAAATCATGTTTATTCTATTACAGTTGTCTCAATTTTTCCCCCTTTACCCCCCTCCACCCATCCTACCCCACTCCCACAATCAATTCCCACTCTGTTGTCCATGTCCATGGGCCATTCATACATGTTCTTTGTCTAGTCCCTTCTCCTTCTTTCCACCATTGTCCTCTTTCCCCCTCCCCTCTGGTCACTTTCAGTCTCCTCCATGTTTCCATGCCTGTGGTTTATTTTGTTCATTAGTGTATTTTGTTGAATAGAGTCCACTTATAGGTGAGATCCTATGGTATTTGTCTTTCATCAACTGGCTTATTTCACTTAGCATAATATTCTCCAGTTCCATCCATGCTGTGGCAAAAGGTAGGAGTTCCATCTCTCTCTCTCTCTCTCTCTTTCTTTCTTTCTTTCATGCAGATTGATTTTATTTTTTTAAATGTCAAAGTTAATTATAAAATATTAAAAAATTTAAAACCCTTATAAAGTCTCAGCAATTAAACCAACATGACACCAGCACAGAAATAATCAAGTAAATCAATTAAATATAATGAGCATTCTAGAGACAAATGTATATATCTGTCTAACAATGTAATATATACTTAAGTTGATATTTCAAATCAATGGGGAAAATTAGGCTTATTCAACCAATAAGGTGCATGGACCACTATTTCTTGAAATAAAACAAATATAGAGCCTTATTTCATGCATTATACAAGAAATATTCAAGTGAGTTAAAAATCAATATGTAGAATCTAAGGAATTTTAGGAGAAAATACAAAATAATATTTTTCTTACCCTGAAGTAAAATATTCAAACCCAGAAGCTATAAAGTAAAATATTGACAATATGGCTATATTAAACATTTAAGACTGTATAGTATTATACATATAAAAAAAGTTAAAGGACAAGTAATAGACTAGGAAAATATTTGCAACACATCTATAAAAGGGTTAATGCTTTGTTTTGATTTTTTGTTTGTTTTTTTTTTAAGGAAAAAAATTCTACAAACATTTAATCAAAAAATGGATAAAGAATACCAAAAAGTCATTGAAAGCTTTTTAAAAATAATAGAAATAGACAAGAAATGTACGAAAACAGGTTTAGTTTCAACAAATAATAAAGTAACAATTAAAATAACACATCATTGTCACAATCAGATTAATACATATTAAAAACTATTGGTAATATCAAGTATTGGCAACTGTGAAAGGAAGTGGGTATTCATAGATTCTTTTTCTTCATCTTCTTTCAGCAGTCCCTTTAGCATATCTTGCAATGCTGGTTTGGTGGACCTGTATTCTTTTAGCCTTCTTTTGTCTAGAAAACTCGTTATTTTGGCTTCATTTTAATTGAGAGCCTTGCTGGGTAGAGCAGTCTTGGTTGCAGGCCTTTGCTTTTCATGACTTGGAATATTTATTGCCAATCCCTTCTGGCTTACAGTGTTTCTGTTGAGAAGTCTGCTGCTAGCTGTATCAGGGCTCCTTTATATGTTACTACCTCCTTCTAACTTGCTGGCTTTAGGATTCTCTCTTTGTCTTTAATATTTGTCATGTTAATGATAATGTGTCTTGGAGTGGGCCTCATTGAGCTCCTCTGGAATGGGACACTCTGTGCTTCCTGGACTTGTGTGACTTTTTCTCTCCTCAAATGAGGGAAGTTTTCCATCACTACTTTTTCAAACAGGTTCTCTATCCCTTGCTTCTCTGCTTCTTCTGGAATCCCTATTATACCGATATTCCTACGTTTCAGGTTGTCCTGCACTTTCCTCAACGCCTCTTTGTGCTTTTTGAGTCTTTCTTCATTTTCTTGCTCTTTCTGGGAGCTTCTTTCTACCTCACCCTCCAGCTCGCTGATTCGATCCTCTGCTTCATCGAGCCTGCTTTTGATTCCTTCCACTGTGTTCTTCAATTCAGAAATTGTACTCTTCATTTCCTCTTGTCTCTTATTGATAGTTTCTATGTCCCTTTTCATGCTGATATAGTTTGCAGTAAGTTCCATGTAGTTTCCCTGTAGTTTTTGGTAATTCTCTCTGAGCTCACTGAGTTAATTGAGCTTCCTTAGAACCCTTGTTTTGAACTCAGTGTCTGACAGTTGACTTGCCTCTATTTCATTTAGTTCTCTTTCTGGAACTAAATGAAATAGAGGCAATCCTCTTTCTGGGGATTCCTCCTTTCCCTTCGATGAGGGGTGGAGGGTGTTGTTTCTTTGTCTTCCTATTATTTGTGAGACTCTTCTCTTTTGCTTCTGATTCTTAAATTGATCTGTCTTGATCTCCTGACTTTGTGGTGTGAACTTCCATGGTAGGAGACTGCTGTTTTTACTTTCTGGATCTGCCTCTGATGATATCAGATGTCATCCCTGTCTGATCATAGGCAATTTGTTTGAGACTTCCAGTAATCTACTGCTTGCGGCTGTTTCCTTCAACTGTTAATCTGGGGACCTTTTTAATCTAATGGGGAAAATGGTCCCTGTGAACAAGGGGGGCATCCCAGGAGACAGTGTTTGTCCAACTACATATGAGCTTGCTACCCTGCTCCAGCCTTCCCGTGGCTCTGCCTCACACTGAGACAGAGACCAGAACCCTTACAAAGCCCTGCCCAGTCTGGCCCCTGCCTGGCTTTTCAGACCATCACCTGCCACTCCTTGCCTGCTCTCTCCACAGTGGTCATGCTGGCCCTCTGCCCTCCCCAGAGCAAGGCCTCAGTGCCTTCACCCTGCAGTTCCTCTCTAAAGGAAGAGCTCTTTCTCTAGCCCTTCATTTGGCTTGCCCCTCACTAACCTCAGGTCTCTGCTCAGGTGTCCACTTCTTGCATACCCTTTCTGACCACCCCATCCCCAGGACTCTCTGTCTTCTTACTCTACCTGAATTTTTCTTCCAGTACTCACATTCTATTGTTTCCCCATCCCCCAGCACTGAATGGAAGCTCTGGGAGGTGAGGGACTTAATCTTGTTCACTGCTGTATGTCCAGCATTTAGCAAACCTCTGGCTCTCAATAGACGCTGAAATATTTAGAGAATGAATGAACAGTATTTATTATCATCATTATAAAGTAATATATGCCTGATACAGAAAATTTTGTAAAACTCAAAAAACTGTATGCGATGAACACACCAATGTGTTAACACTGATTATTTTGTCTTTTTCCCCCCTTTACACTTAAAAAAATTCTATTCACTTTAAAACTTCCAGGAACAAAACACCTGACCATAAGTTAAGCTGTTTCTTTTGCTGCTAGTTCATCCCCCACATGCCGAAGCGACTTCGCTTTGAGGACATTTCCAGCTCAGGCTGTTGGCTGATGCTTAAAGACCTGAAATCTGGAAGGACTTGGGGGTTTGTCAGACCCCTAGAAGTATGACAAGGCTCTCTTGACCCTTCCAGGCCTTTTTAATGGCTTATAAATGAGAGGGTCAGGCTCATTTTCCCCTCTCTCAGAAGACAATCCTCCTAGCCTGGGTTTCAGGGGACACTGTTTGTGAGGATCAAGGTAGCCAGGGAAGATTCCAGAAGGTGGCAAGGGGAACCTGGGCCAATGTTTTTCCAGTTTACCTATATCATAGATGGACAGATTGTTTCACAGAACAGAATATGCATAGTTTGGATAGTTTCCCCAAATTCTTCAACTGAGTGACTTGTTCCTTTTAATGATTTTCAAGTGCCTGTGGACTAGGCCATTCCAGATGGAAAGTGGCCCCAGTCAGTCTCTGAATTGCCCTCATCTCAGCCAATTCTGGTGTTGTTCTTTCCCCTACATTGTTCACTTTTCAATGTCGAAACTTTGAGTTGAAGCCCACAAATAAGAATTATTGTATTAGTCAACTTGGGCTGCTAGAACAGACTGCATGGCTTAAATAACAGAAATTAATTTTTCACAGTTCTGGGGTCTGGAAGTCCAAGATCAAGGTCTAATTGGGTTTAGTTTCTGGTGAAGACTCTCTTTCTGGTTTGTGGATAGCAGCCTTTTTGCTGTGCTGTGTCCTCATGTGGCAAAGAGAGAGAGAGAGAGATCTCCTGGGTCCCCTCCTCTTCCTATAAAGGCACCAGCCCATTGGATTAGGGCCTGACCTTATGACTTCACTGAACATTTATCATCATCTCACAAGCACTGTCTTCAAATACAGTCATGGGAGTGGGGTTAGGGGGTTAGGGCTTTAATGTGGATTTGGGTGAGGAAACAAAAATTCAGCCTATAACACCAGTTTTTACCAATCAGGTGTGTGACTTTAAACCTGTGGACCCCTGCCAATCACTGTCAATTTCTTCTTTCTTTCACTATTGCTAGTCATATTTTCCTTGCCTGCTTGCTTTGCTGGTTAGGTTCCACTGATAGGTAAGGTCATATAGTATTTCTCTTTCACCACCTGGCTTATTCTGCTTAGCATAATGCTCTCCAGTTCCAGCCATGCTGTCCCTAAGGGTAGTAGCTCCTTCTTTCTTTCTGCTGTGTAGCATTCCATTGTGTAAATGTACCATAGATTTTTGATCCACTCATTTACTGATGGGCACTTGGGTTGCTTCCAGCACTTGGCTATTGTCAGTTGTGCTGCTATGAAGATTGGGGTGCATAGGTTCTTTTGAATTGGTGTTTCGGGATTCTTAAGGTATAATCCCAGCAGTGGAATCACTGGGTCAAAAGGCAGTTCCATTTTTAGCTTTCTGAGTAAATTCCACATAGTTTTCCACAGTAGTTGCAGCAGTCTGCATTCCCTCCAACAGTGTACTAGGGTTCCCTTTTCTCCACAGCCTAACCAACACTTGTTTGTTGATTTGTTTATGATGGCCATTCAGACAGGTGTGAAGTGATATCTCATTGTGGTTTTAATTTGCATTTCTCTGATGGCTAGTGATGCTGAGCATCCT